CAGAATGGATTTCTGTTCAAATTTTACTGCAGTACAGTCTTAACACTTATTTATTTTAAGCCAAATATATTTATATAATTTATCACAACTTCTCCTGTTATGGTCAAGTTTCCTAATAAATTATGTTTCTCATATAATTTTGTTCCTGTTGTCATTTTTGCCCTGATGCTCAAGACCCAAGTCCAGCTTTCAAACACTAAAAAATGTAGTCTGGCAGGAAATGTCAGGTTTTTTCACAAAGACAGAGAAATGAGGATGCACTTGTCTCTGAACCCCCCACTTCTCACAAAACCTGGTGAAAACCTGGTGGTTAATTAGTTGGGGCTCATTATCTTTGGTGTACAGATCTACTTCCACTTTCTGTTCCTCTTTCTTCTTAGACTACTCTCTTAGACTTCCCCCTCTTAGACTACTCTCCAGAGTGCACATCTTTACAACTGTGGGAGGGCAGAGGGGCAGGGGAGAAGGAATATTCTCATGTTTTTGGATTTTGGAACTGGTTTCAAGTCCAAAAATGCAGAAATATAGATTAGAAAGGACCCCTGAGATAAGAAACAAGTCTCTTGCTGTCTGTGGTAGCCACAACATACAATAAACAAATAAACGTCTTAAATCAAGACTTTTTTTACTGTCTTACTACTCCAGTAGTCACTAAATCCCACCTAATTCCAGTGGGTTAGAGAATCAAGAAGGTTGCTTGAAAGATTAAAATTCTTGGCCAAAAATACCTCTGATACAAAGATGCATAAAAACGACAGCTTGATTTCCAGCTTAACCACATTTTCTGCAAAGCCCTCAATTTAAATGGTGTTTGAAGGGTTATTCACATTCTCTTCAGTCTTTATAGCTCAGCAGATATCAATAGAAGCAATATGAATAGAACAAAATTTATTGTATTTTATATCTGTATAATTCAATAGGCTTCAGAGGAAGGTTTAAGGATAGGTTAATAAAAGTTACTATATTTTGAGGAAATAATATGTAGTCTCATAAAAACATATCTGTTTCATTTTTTTGCTACTTATCTGTCTATATGACAATGCTCTTAAATTTTATCCTTCATAAATAAAGAACAGAATTGGTAGTTCTTATTTATATTAAATTCAGTATAGATCAGTCTCAATACTATTCAAAGATAAGAAATTGTATAATTGGAAATTAATTTGATCATATACTTTATAAAACCTAAGAAAATATTACAAAACAATAAAAAATAATGTGCAGCAAATCAAAAGCTTTAATTAAGAAGTTAATTTATGTGAATCCAGTTCTCACAAATTACTAGTTATAAGTACCTGTTCTTTAATATCAAACCTCACCAGCTATTGAATCGTATTTTCTTGTGCAAGCCAGTGCTCCTGAATGACAATTAAACCAAACTTTTTTTTTTAAAGTATATAAATCTAAAGTGTTTGTGTTCTGTTCTGCTTTTTTAGCAGAAATTATCTCCAAATGTAACACAATATTTACAAGCAAAGATAATATTTCTTACTAGAACAATTTATAGTAAAAAATGAAAACTGGGACTATATTTTCCCTACACATATGAAGTAAAAGCACAGGATCTGAAGGTGATATCGAAAGAGCTTCTCAGATTTAGAGCAGAATGCTAGTCCCTCTCTAGAAGCAAATAGTGGTGGGTACTTATGGGGCAGTGAAAATGTTAAATGGGAGAGGAGGTGTAAGGAAGTGGTTATGTTTTAGAGGAGGAAAGAGAGATAAAGGGTAATTTACAGATCATGGAAGATGAAGTTAAAAATAGGATGAAGTTTCTAATGCAATATTTTTAGTCCGTGCCTTTTCGCACCCTGTCCAAATTTTAGTTGCCAGACGCAGTTTTGAAATTCACTTTGTGAATTTCCTATGAACTGGAAGACGAGAACTTCACATGAAGTGATGCCTTTGTGAGAAATCTGCCCCATGCAGATGTGAGAGCGCATTTCCTCTGCCTGTGGGAGCCCAGCGATTGCTCCATCCCAGCCACACCATGAAGAGGAGGGCACGTCTCTTGCCAGCCACTCTTGTCTTCTTTCAGGCACAAAGCAGTCTTTCCAGAATTAGGAATTGGGGTATTTTGTCATAAAATTGCCTGTTATTTTCTTTTTCCCTTTTAATAAGTTTACCTCTATTTGCTAACTACTGTACTATGCTCAAGTACTGAGCCCCTCCCCAGAGCTTTGCTGCAGGTGTGGTGTGTAATCGTTGCCCATATCATCAGTAAGACAGATTTGCCCAGCCAGGAATTCAATTCCCCAAATGTGTTTAGTGCATTTGCAGTTCTGTAAGATCCCCTGGTAACCCATGCAGGTGTGAAACAGGACTCCTGGGAGCCCAGCACTTCCCAAAGGGCCACAAAGACCACACTGTCCCTAGGGACTTGAGTTAGCATGGTTGAGTCCTGCCCTCACGCGCTGCAGTCTGTTTAAAGTCCATCAAGAGTCAAAGACAGCATGTAGACCAATTGCCTTTGTCCCATGTTTTTCACTCAGGCTGAGTAACAATTCCATTTCATTGGCTCTGTGGAAGCATTGAGCCTGAAGAGTAGTGGCACAACTTTTCTCCTTGAACAGTTCTCTAGTGTCATTAAGCTGCCTAAAGGTTTCCAGCTGGCTTCCAACTACCAGTGTAGAAGTCACAGGTCTAGGTTCTGGATCACAGCCACCAGTGTGGCTTTCTTTTTAGAGATCTGCCTTATGTTTTTAAATGGATATTTGTTTGTCTCCAAGGTTTCAAAGCTAGAGGGAATGACCATGGTGCTACAGTCTGATTATGTTCATGCATATGACACAAAAGACAAAGGCTGTTCAGGGCTTTTGCCCCAAACGTATTTTCCCATGGCACTAGAATACATTTTTGGAAACACGTTTCAGCTGATATGAATTTAATTTTATAGAAAAATTAAGAACTATGGGCAGATTTTATATGAACTGGGATAAGTGTTTTTCTTGCCTCCCACTGTGGCTGGCTATCAGATTCCCACAGCTGTCTGCTATGTATCAGTGAAGGATAGAGACAATAAGAGCAGCTAGGTTAAGATCAGCTGCATCCAACTTTAAGCATTTGTAAATTAAGCTTTCTTCTACAGAAAACAGAGAAATACCTATCTCTGGGCAGTGATTCAACCAACTAACTTAAAATTGGGTCATCTGGCCTCTACATTGTCTTCATTCAATGTAGAGAAGTTGAAAACTCTAATTTAGACTACATTTTTAGTTTCAGCAAACATTAGTGTTTGCTCAGAAGAACTTGAGTGACGAATGATGGAGACCTACATCACAGAAAACACTACCAGAGTTTTGCAATATGGCCATCTACACAACTGAGCAGCCAGTTCCCAATGCCCAAGGCAGAGAGACCGGAAGAGGTTCACGAGTGATGTTTCACAAGCACGTCTATAGTTGGCTTTGGGGTCTGGGAAAAGAAGAAGCTGTAGAAGCAGCTTCTGGTTACGGTTTCCTAATGCTTATCTTTGACATTTATTAAAGTTGGTGGATATTGAACTACCCCATGACTTCTTTTCTCCTCTTACAAGACAGCAGCAATGTGACCCCTGTTTTAACCTAGAAAGTTGACTGCCTATCACATCAGTAGTACTGATGATGTTACACAGAGCATCCCAGGAAACAGAAACAGTGCTGCAGCGTAGTCATGACCGTAACACTATACCAGCAGGGACTCAACATTCCTAATTGTTCACAACAGAGATGTCTGTTAGGTAGCTGTGTAAACATGCATAATATCAACAAAAATCTAATAGATATGGTCAAATACATACAGAACTGAATGGGACCTATACAATGCAATGATAATAATCAAGACAAGGGTTTGTTGGGGTTCTTTTTAAGTATCTGAGAAATGCCTTTAACAACAAGTTTAACAACGAGGATATCGGGATGAAAAGGTTCACCATTAATGCCTCCAGCTGGAGAAAAATTGGCTGGAAGGGACAGCAAAAAAGCCAAAAACCAGAAGCATGGATTTCCTGAAAAAAGCCACGGTCCAACGTGAAAGCATTTCTTTCAACAGTTTTGTAAAAGTTGAGTATGTGTTGTGAGAGCTCCTCCGAAGTGCCAAACACCTTCATCTCTCTTTGCTGCCAGTGAAAGAGGAAGGTGCTTGGCTGGAACAGGGTGAAATCCCATAATTTGTCACAGCTTGTGTGACTCTTGAAACTTCCCTTATTCTGAATTACTTAAGACAGGAAATAATCATATGCCCTGCGGCTAATGTGGTTAAACTGGAAAAACCCTTTAGTGATGAGATGGCAGATAGATAGATAGATAGATAGATAGATAGATAGATAGATAGATAGATGCAGACAGAGATATAAGATTATTCACACTCTTTAGGCTCAATTTATAAGGTTAAATCAATCTCATTTATGTATATCTTGGATTCCACCAGAATGATTTAGAAGAAACACGCTGCTTTTAAAAATTGCCAGAAAGAGGTGGGTAAGGAATTGGCATTTTCATCATAAATCAATTTGAAATGAAAATATTCTGCTTACAGTCATTTCTCTCAAAGTCTCTTTTGTTTTCTTTTTTATGGGATTCATACCTCAGGCACAATTCCCATTTTCTAGGTGTACCCCGACATGTGGTGGTCCCACTTCACACAGGTGTGTTGGGACAACTTACAAGGTTTTGCATTTGTCCACCACTTAATCCGGCATGAAATTGCTCAGGTTTGTCAAAATTGGTGTAAAATAACTGAAATTGAGTACTAGTTTTGAAAGGGTAGCCAAGCTGCTTAGACAGATTCCAATCCCAGCTGACTTCAGATGACTGTGAAGTCGGATGGGTTCAATTAAGTTTTATTGTGTTAGTCTGCACAGTGTTATAACTTGTGTGGAGGGAATCAGAGCATGATAAGCTCTGAGTCAGTCTACAGCTGACTGTTCAAAGCACCCCATAACCATACGAGCTGGGATGTGAGAAAGGAGGCACATGGAGCAGAAAGCAGACAGCTCTCCTACCAGGACAGGGATGAGAGTAAAAATGAAGGCTATTTCACTTTGGCTTGTAACATGCACAGCTGTTTCTAGTGCCCTTCTCTTCCATCCAGAAAAACACAGTGAAGAAGATGCAAAGCTTGTACAGGTAACTGCATTGTCCATATCTGGGATCTATTGAGCCCTCTATTTTTAGACCTGTTCTGTGTGTTCCACTTGCACAGCAGCTTGCTGCATTTCTGAGACAATGCTATCGCATAGACCTCTGTTGCTTGAACTTTATTAAAGTAAGTTAAATCTGTACAAACTGGAAATGTCAAGTGAATAAGAGTGAGGACAATGTTGTCTGTTTCTATTTAGCTATGATCCTCATGAAAACATCTGTTGTGCTCCAAAAGTGCAGGAAGGTTTTGCCAGCAACCTACACAAACAACATCAGTCCTAAGGTATTTATTTGTTCAAGAAACAGATCAAAATGTGAAACATGTCACTATTTTTTTTTTCACTAGAACTACTTGAATAAATTCTATGCTGTTGAGCCAGATCCAAATCAACTTGGATGGAAAATAAATGCTGAATCCGCAGCTGAAAAACTTCAGAAAATGCAACAATTTTTTGGTTTGAAAGTGACTGGAAAACTGGATAATGAGATATTGGAAATGATGAAGAAACCTAGGTGTGGAGTTCCCGATGTAGGTCTCTATGGTTTCACTCTGCCTGGATGGAAAAAAAACAAACTGACATACAGGTAATTACTTTTTGAGTTTAAATTTTAGTTTTGTGGGTATCTGAATTTGTTATATTTAAATATAACTTCTATAGCAATTGTTTCCTGTTGGGAATACAAAAATGTTTCTCTCTCCTCAGCTGTTAGCTATGCATGCTCCTGAGAGGAATTTCTGAAGATCAAGCTGGGTATTTTGCATTTACTGGTTCAACCATAGTATTTTGCTTGTCATGTATCACTCCTGACATTATTCTGATATCCTGATATTCTGTAAGCCAAACAGAAACATCAATTGTATCCTGTACAAGCCTCATTATCTTTAACGTTTGCTGAGATGACAGTGTCAGAAACCTGAGGAGGTAACTTTCCTCATGCTCAAGTAGCAACCTCCTGGCTAAGGCCCATTTTAAGAAAAAACTGATAATGTGTACACAACTATTATTATTAAAAAGACATATTGGACAGTTATCACATACTCAAACACACTCAGTTTTCCCTTATCAAACTCACCCAGATCCAGATGAATCTTGGGAACTATTTCGTTACAGGTTATACTGTTTCTTATATTTTCTGTTAATCTTCTTAACTATATTAGGATTTTCTTTTTTTTTATAGGTTATACTGTTTCTTTATATTTTCTTATATTTTCTGTTAATCTTCTTAACTATATTAGGATTTTCTTTTTTCTTCAAATACTAAATATTATGCTTGAATTCTCTTAACTGTAGAATTGTGAACTACACACCAGATATGAGCAAGGAGGATGTGGATAAAGCAGTTGAGAAGGCATTTAAAGTGTGGAGTGCTGTCACCCCACTGATTTTCACTCGCATCCATATGGGAATAGCAGATATAATGATTGCTTTTGGGAAAAAAGGTAAAATGAATACTGCACACAATGATAAAATTAACTTTTTTGAAATTTTTTAATTAATTATTTTTCAATAATAATAACCAGAGCTCAGTGTTGTACCAACTTCTTATGATTTAGTTCATGGACATTGCCCTCGCTATTTTGATGGACCCCTTGGAGTTCTTGCTCATGCCTTTCCACCTGGCACTGGTTTAGGTGGTGATGTACACTTTGACGAGGATGAAGACTGGACCACAGGCTCAGCTGGTAGGTTCAAAAAAGGTCTATAAAGTGTTATGCAGATGAATAAATTTCATTGTGATTTTATTTAAGTGAAGGAAGAGACTAAGATGAAACATTGCATTAACTACAAGAGCAGTTTGAGGGTATTGCAGGCTGTCCTACAACAGGGATACTTACAATGACATAGACATAAACACCTTGATCTACTCTAGTCCTTAATTAGCCCTGATAAAAATACCAACAGGACAATCCTTTTTAGGTGGGAATGCCATAGACACAGCCACTCTTACCTGGGGGTTGGTGGTGGCCTGGAGTTTCACAAACCTTGATAAAAGCTTTCTCTTTTCCCCTTCTGGTGCACACCAAGCCTGGCACTACTATGGCCTGTGCTTTGCAGCAGCCCTCAAAACACATCCCCACCATCTAAAAATCAAAGGACATCCCCACCATCAGGGATAATGAAGAGTCTTCACTAAAAACTCCAGAGTAGGTTCAACAACAGGCAGCAGAGAAGGGAGCACTGAGTGCCCAGCCCCATTCTGCCTGGAACGTCTGCTCTGCTCAGCCTCCAGGCTGGCCGTACAGCACGTACTGCCTCTGACAGGTCCATCAGCACACAGGCACATTGCCCTCTGCTACTTTAGACCCTTTTCTCACATACTTTTTGAGATGGAAAGCTGCAACAAGAGGACTGAGGTCAGGAAGAGCAAGGAGCTAATGAAAAGAAAAAGTTCTGTAAGGCTGCTGCACAAGGAGGACACTGTGGGTTTATGGTGGTGGAAAAAAAAGAGAGGGGTGAGTACTGGACATGTCACATGATTAAATGTCATGTTTTCCCCATACTGGGACTGAATGGGTCAACCACAATTCTTCTGCTGTTCCTCAGCAGCACAGCTCCAGCAGCCAGACATTGCAGAACTTGGAGCGCTCAGAAGACTCGTGAGAGAGGAGGACTGACTGGAAATATGTGTGGAAAAAATGAGACTTTATTTTGTTTGGGTTTTTGAGAAATGAATGTCTTGGCTTCAGCCAGCCTTTCTTGGGCAATAGATGAGCAGTCCTCTCCTCTGCCACAGACTTGTGGTCTTCATTAAATCTGTTGACATTTCTGGATCTTGGTCTGCAGGGCAGATGATCATTCTCCCCTAATTCAGAAAGGCACGTTACTTGGAGGGACGCATGTTGAAGGAAATTCCATTTTTATTTCTTTGTTGTGTTAACATATGTCACTAGTAATAAGCATGCAGAAGCATAACATTTTAAAATTTTATTTTGTTTCATAAATCTCTAAAGAAACCATATGCTTTAAAGTCCCAATGGTATAAAGGTAAAGCATTCTGCTAATGTTTTATTTTTCCTTGTCTACTCATGATCTCACCTTTCTTTCTCAGGTTTGTAGGAGGGAGAGTGACACACTGAGTGACACTTTGATACCTGCGGTGAGCACAGAGTGTGTCCTCCTGCCTTGCCCTGGAGAGCTGTTAGTTTGATCTGACTCACTATCTAATCTGTTCTACCTCAGCCAGGAAACCCTGCCAGGACATTCCAAAGAGCTGCACCCACACTCACCCCCAGATATCTACTCACACACACACTTTCAGTAGCTAACAGAAAGCAAGAGGGTCAAAAGTCTCTCCCTTCTAGTGGGGGGAGACCATAATCTTGTCCTATACAAAAATATGTTCACCTAGATGCATTCCCTAGTGAACGTCCATATATTGTAGGAAAACTGCTACTGACCAATAGCCTGATGCTGTGATTGTATCAGCCATTTATTGAGTAAAGTTTGACTGATCTCTTCTCTCTATCCATTTCATAAGGGTTCAACTTGTTCCTTGTTGCTGCTCATGAGTTTGGTCATGCCTTGGGTCTCTCCCATTCTAATGATCAGAGGGCTCTCATGTTCCCCAATTATGCCTACATCAGCCCCAGTGAATTTCCCCTCTCTCCAGATGATATAAGTGGCATTCAGTCAATTTATGGTGAGTAAAATCCATGGCTTTAAGAAAAAAGGTAAGCAGAGGAGAAATAATCTCTTTCACAAAATTTCACCATAAACTTCATCATATTCGCATAATGTTAAAAAAAAAAAGGCAAGGTGTGGAAACCTTAATATTTCTACAATTTGGTGTAATCTTTCCAAAATTTCTCCCTCAGGATCCCCACCAAATGCCCCAGATAAAAGGCCGACCACCCCTACCTCACCTAAAATCTGTGCCTCCCAGATGTCTTTTGATGCTGTAACTACACTCCGACAAGAAGTCATTTTTCTAAAGGGCAGGTAAATACTGATATGACATTTGTCTGCATGGGGTTTAATTTTTCTTGATTTATACAAAGACTGAGTACTTTCATAGTTCACATGTTTACAGGATTGCCAATGAAACAAATGGATTTCAATTCATGGAAATAAAAGTTTTAGCAGATATTAGTTATATTCATATTTTTATAGGAATCCCTGAAAAAACATGATTCATTTTTTTCCAGAAAACACCTCAATCCCAATGAGACCTTACACCCAAATGTATAGATGGTTACACTGAATATTGACTTGACTTGACTTAATGATGCAAACATTTCCAGACAATCACATAAAGGTTTGGTTTGGAAGGTACCTCAAAGATCATCTAGTTCCAAGCAGGGACACTTCCCACTAGTCCAGGTTGCTCAGATCCCCATCCAACCTGGCCTTGAACATTTAATTAAGTGTTTAATTAATTTTATTAATTACATTTAAATAGAAACAAACAAAGTAGGAAATAAGTACGTTTCACCATACAGTTGAGCCAATCTCTCCTCCAATCCCCTCTGCAAGCCCAAAATCATCTGGGGAATTAATCTGCTGAAGAGGTTACAGTAAGCCCTATCTGGGCTGCTACAACCCTCTTACTATACAGTACAGGGACAACTTGAAATATTCAGCTGCTTATAACTGATCATTTATCAATCAGCATCAATTAAATGCCAGAATAAACACAGAATAAAAAACCAAACACTTCCCAGTGCAGGGAGTTATTTCCTTTCTGACACATCAAGACAGGTAGCTCCACTGACAAGAAAGAGCTTGTAAGTCACAATGTTGCTCACATTCTTTTGCACATACAGAAGTTTCTGTGGTCTGTTATGTACTACAAACCTGTTTCGTACTTAAATCAGGCACTTATGGAGGGTATATCCCGATAACTCAGAAGCTGAACGTGAATTAATTTCTGCCTTCTGGCCAAATCTGCCTCCTGGTATTGAAGCTGCATATGAGAACACAAAAGATCAGATCCTACTTTTCAAAGGTGAAGTATGAGATTTTCTCTAATTTTTTCTAAATTTAAGTATGGGGGTAAAAGGCAAATATTTTGTCTTAACAGGCAACAAATTCTGGGTTATCATAATTTAAGTATGTGGGTAAAAGGCAAATATTTTAATTTGTCTTAACAGGCAACAAATTCTGGGTTATCAGCGGATATCAGGTGTTGCTTGGTTATCCAAAGAATATCAACACACTGGGCTTTCCTAAAGGTGTCAAGAAAGTTGATGCAGCTGTTTGTAATAAAAATACAGGGAAGACAGACTTTTTCACAGGTGACAAGTACTGGAGGTAAGAAGAATTGACAAATGTTTTCCTATTAATAACTCAAATATAATCTGAATAAAAATTAAAGTGAACAAGTCATAAAAGAGAAAGTAGACCTTTTAGGTAACTGTAGGTTCCCTCTAAAGCCTATTCCCAAACTGGCATGAGTGATTCTTGATACCTAAAAAGCAGGCAGGGGAAGAAAGAAGTCAGCTTTGGGAAGTTAAAAGATTCTTTCTGTGTGCAAGGACAGTGGCTGCAAAGGTCTTCCCCAGAAAACCAGGGCAAGAGTGGTTCACGCAGACTTTATTGTGACTAATGTGGGGTTCCTCAGTGATACATGCAGAGTCATCTGGATTTTGAGATTCCTGTGGTTTCCTGTTTTTTGGTTTTGATTAATTTGGGTAGAGTATTTACAATATCTTGCATTGTTATTTTACTGCCTTGGTCACAAGACAACAGCATGCAAGAAAACCACAACACACATTTCTTACCTCGTAACTCATTCTCTCAGCCTCATATGCCTGTCAAAAATATTTCTTGTATCCAAGGAGAAGTGAAACAAAGGCTTTGTTTGCTTGTTTTGAGTTGGGTGTTGTTTTGTTTTGGTTTTTTTTGTTGTTTTTTTTTTTTCCTCCTGAGAAGGTTCCTCAAATCTGGAAGAACATTTAGGTTCTCCTTTCTTTTTAGTCCTATCTCATAAAAATTGTCCTGGGTCACATAGGAAGAACTTGATGTATTAGAAATAAGCCAGCTTCCTTGCCTCCATCTAAATCTTTCAGCTAGTAAAGGACTATGTACAATACCTTACTGAAGTCTGAGAGGAGGAGTCAAAATTCATGCTAAAAATACATGCTATAGCAGGAATGAATCTGTCCAGTTTCCATGCCCTGTCTGTCACACTGTTATCATCAGAGGAGGGAAATCCCATTCCTGGAGTCAAAAATGTGGATCTTCCTTCAGTTTTTCTCACTTAGGATGCGTCTTTGGAGTTTACCTTTATCAGCAAACAAGAAACAATCTCATGGAAAACACAATGGCCAGCATCCTGCAGCCATGTGTGCAGTTAAATAGCAGAACTTTCTCTTGCAACCCCTGTGAAACCAACTAAATGCAGATGGTAGGCACCTTTAAAAAGCTGCTTAACTCTGTGCAGAATTGAAATCTAAACTCTGGAAAATTGCGTGTCCCCCTTCATATGATTTAGGTTTGATGAAAACAGCCAGTCCATGGAGAAGGGTTTTCCTAGACTGACAATCGATGAATTTCCAGGAATTAGTCAGAGGGTTGATGCTGTTTTTCAACAGAAAGGTAAATTAAATGATCTTTTATGTAAAATCAGTTTAGTTCTAAAGATCTTAAGTTTTGAAATTATGATGATGATGATTGCTGCATCCTGCAAAAGACAGAAATGAAAAGATGCTTTCCTTTGTGTATGAAAGGGATTTGTCAGAATAAAGCTATTTCTTTTATCCATAACATAATACTTTACTTTTTCATTTCCAGGATTATTCTACTTCTTCCATGGATCAAAACAATGGGAGTTTGACCCTATTGCTAAAAAAGTTATCAGAGAAATGAAGAGTAACAGCTGGTTTCACTGTTAGCATCATTAAACTTTCTTACATTCACTGAAAGACAATAACTACCATTCCATAGATCTCAGAAATTGGTTGCATGTACACTGCTCTACAGAATAGGCAACAGGACTAGCTTTTATAAATGCTTTTCATGTATTTTAATAAATGAACATGTCAGCTCAAATTTTATTGTCAAAGACGAGAACAAAGTTGCATTTTAACCGTAAGTGGAAATTGTACAAAATAATTTATTATTTTATTCTCCAGATGGTTTGGGGATTTTTTTTTAATATTATGGCAATAAAGAGTTTTAGGTTGATGGCACCTGTTTTCTGCTTCATCTGTTGAAGGCATTCTACATTTCTGAGGTGTGAAAGGCTTCAGGCTAATATTCTATTATCCCTCCAGCATACAATGTTTGTACTTTGCCTCTTTTCTCTCCAAAGAGCAAGCTTCTTTTCTCTCCATCTGCAAGATACAAGCTTTCATTAGCCACTTGCTTTTCTCCATTCTGCAGAAGATGCATTTTTCTGCATCTTGTCCTGCTCTTCTTTGCTGTTGCAGCTTTGTCCCTTTCACATCACAACAGTACTTTTACACCAATATCACCCTGAAGATCCAATGTCTAAATAAATTATCTCACCTGATAATCACCCTGATTAGTCTTTATAGCATAACAATTAACATTTCATCAGCGTCCACTTTGTCTGAAGCTATGAATTACGTCCTTCACACATCAGCCCTGCCCTGCTCAGGAATAGTTTCAACTGCCATGTCATGGAGCACAACCTTTGCTCTGCTGATAGAAACCATGAGCTTTACATATTTCTGACATTTATTTCCTATTGCCATGCAAACTCTTCACAAAATCAGACAAAATCTATAGAATCACAGCCACATCCTCTCCAGTTATTTCTTTTACATTTAGTTCTGGAAATAGGCCCAGAACACACTGCCAAATTGTTGGCCATACTGAGTGCATGGCTGGGGATATTTGAGAACCTGGTCTCAGTACTAGTTTGTCCTGCTGTTCCCCAGTTCTCACATATCTGCCTGTTTTACACACCTTTCACATGCTTTAGTAAAATGTTTCTTTTTGCTGTGTATTTTTATAATGATGCAATGACCCTAGTATGAACCTTGCCCACCTGACTTTCTGTGAACAGCAGCAGTACCACCATGCTGCTGCTATTGCTATCTGAAACCCACTGGCTTTGTTCCCACGAGGAAATCAAAGTAAAGGATCAAATGTGATTTTCACTAATCTGCAAGTCTAATCATGGTGGACACCACCACCATTTAGATCCCTAAGAAAATGTAAGCCTAAAGTGGGGTGGTATGGTAGACATTTGAGGGAGTCTCGTCTGACTGCTTTAGCTTTCTAGCTAGAAATATGAGTTAGGGAAGATCCCTGTACTGAAAAAAGAGGAAGAAATTTTCCACAACATTACTCATCTCATCATCTCATCTCATCTCATCTCACCCAAAGATTATGCTGGGGCAAACCAGTGTCTTCAGCCTCCAGATAAAACATCTCTTTGCAGGAGAAGGCTACCCAGCTAGCTTAGAGTACATACCTTTCAGACACATAAGGCTGGGTGGAATTAATAGTATCTTTGATGGTTATCTTTCAATTTTTATTCAGAATGGGACATCCTACATTTCTCCTCTATGACGTTTGCTTTTTTGACAAGTTACAACAGCAGCTTTTTTTATCACCACAAGCCAGTGATAAAGTTGTCTGAAGGCACCTGCTTGCACTGCCACTGTGGAATGATTGTGATACCCCACACAAAATGAGCAGAACATGCTGGAGGCAGGTGGAACAAAGATGAATCCTTCCCTATTTCTGTCTTTTGAGGCTCCTTAAACTCTTCTCCAGCATTCAATTAAATTGATGTCCGTGTAGTAGAAAGCACAATTTAAAGCACAGTCACAGAAGCTGCCAAGTTACACCCAGGTGTTTATACTCAGAGGCAAGATTACTCTTTAACACACAGTCTGTTCAGTGTGTAATATGATTGTAATTTTATCGCCAAGTAACGCTTAATCATTGAGTCATAGAGGAGATTATTCAGTTCTTTGCAATACATAAGCAAGTTCCACTGTCTTCAGATATATAAACAATCATAATTACCCCCTCTTTTCTTAGGTGAAGCATTGTTTCATAATTTATAAAAATACCTGGTCTTAAGGCAAGTTAATTTTTAACAGTGAAAGCTAGTTAAGTTTTCTGACTGGCAGCTCTGGCATTCTGTTAAACCAGTGAGGGGTTCATGTTCACAGGCCACCTGTGAAAATAAATAAAGCAATCAGTATTGTTTTTCCTTTATTAGCAAAGAAGGCCTAAAAAGTCATTCCCAACACAGAAAGACTTGACTTTTTATTAGTGGTAACAGCTTGGTCACTCAGTTTTCCCTCTCTGATTGTCATTTCATTGGAGGAGTAGGAACCAGAATAGGAGTGTCAGAACAGAAGGGTGCTTACTGGTGGTCCTATTCTTCCATCTCTTGACTACATGGGATTATGTCTTGCAGCTCACTGTATCCTCCCACAGCCCCAGAGAGTTCCCAATACCTCTCCCCCTCCCTTATGCCTCCTATAGCTCCTCATAATGCATGTCTCCATACTATATTAGGCATCTAGCTGGGTAATGCTGTGCAGTTACCCATGGGGTGACCAGACACTGGCCCCACAGCCTGGCCCAGGGATGAATAATATCTTCCCATCAAAAGGGGTTTTCTCCTCTAGCCAGCTGATATTTTCCACAAAACCAGTAGGAAGTGTGTAATTTCAGTTTGGCTTGGAAAAATCAGCCAGTACCTCCAGTTGCTGGGGGACCAGATGGACGCACAGACACACAGAAAACAGGATCCCATATGGTAAAGCTGAAATAATTTTCTCAGTGCTTTTACTAAATATTCTTCTTGCTTTCCACTGCAGATTTCCATTCAGTTTTATAATATTGTATTCCCCCTACTGTTGACAAGAGGAGTTTGAGAGGGCAGACAAGAAAAGGCAGAAATTACATATAAAACCAAGGAGAGCGCTAATCTTTGTTTGTCTTTCTAGTTTTTTCCTGTCACCAAGAAAAATAGTTGCTTGCTTCTTATCCAATTAATGGTTTTCAACAGCTGTTTTTCAAATGAATAAGATCCTAAGATGATGAGACTGAACCAAAATGAGGAAATTATACATCCTAATGTAACAAGTACAGCATTCCTGGTAGGTTATCCTGAAAAGTCCTCCTCACTTCATTGCCTACAGGAACCCAATCTCTTGACACTGGCATGGGAATGTTTCAGCTAACAGAGTGGGGCAGGAGCTATGTTTGATCAAATATTTGCTAGAGCAGAGCTGGAAAGCCACATCTTACCCTTTCAAGTGAGCAATTCTCCTCTGTGCTCTCAGGTGACAGACAGATACACCAAAGTGTCACTGAGGCACATAAACTACAGCATTCCTGGTAGATTGTCCTGAAAAGTGTTGCTCTCTTTTTTGCCTGCAGGAACCCAATCTCTTGACACTGGCATGGGAATGTTTCAGCTAACAGAGTGGGGCAGGAGCTATGTTTGATCAAATATTTGCTAGAGCAGAGCTGGAAAGCCACATCTTACCCTTTCAAGTGAGCAATTCTCCTCTGTGTTCTCAGGTGACAGACAGATACACCAAAAGCCCTGAGAAAACTGATACTGAATTTTTTTCAAGGGTTTGGTAAGGAAGAAGAAAGACAAGCATGGGAGCTAAAATATACAGAAAACTTGTTATTACCTGGCTGTACATAACCATTCTTCCCTGCACTCACTCATAACTTCATGCCCCTTGTTGCAAATTGCCCAAATCCCAATAACAGGAAATGAAGGTGCAAGGCTGTGTTTAAGTGCTGATAACCAACATGCTCTTTGAACAGCTTATGAAGTTTAAACCTTTTTGAACACATGTCCATCAGACATGCCAGAACCACGCCCAAAGCAGACAACTGAAACCCAGTTCAGACATTGCAGGTGCTGAAACAGGACATCAACAAGAACTGAGGATGAGCAGAACAGTGCAGATGAGGGGCCTGCCCAAAACAGGGAGAGCACTTTGCTGAAGTCTACACACCCAGGCAGAGAGCCTGGCAGGGTGAGCCCTTTTAGTGACAGCCATCTCAGTGACCTTACTGAGTGCACCTTGCACATGTATTTTGCAGACAGGATCTAGAGGTTTGAGATGTGGGTTCTGTGGTTCTGGCTGTAAATCAGACTCTTTCCTGATCTGTCTTCATTCATTTATTAAATCAGCTTGGGATAAGGGGTGTCTGTTGGATTTTTCCTCAGGCATCCCAGGCTTCATGAGTTTTTATGGTCTGCAAGCACTGTATCTTGCTAACTTTAGACAAGTTAGTGGACACAGATCCATGTGTGTGTTTGTGTGCTCGTTAGAGCACCTTGTCCCCATATGGGTGCGTGTGGGTCTGCACAGGCTCTGTGGGGCTCTGCAGCCTGCAGGAGCTAAAGGAGCAGGGAAGGTGTGGAAATGCCTTCTCTGTATGATAGGAACAAATGCTGCTGGTGGAACCAAGGGCCATACAACCTCTACATTAATGAGCAGCACAAGGTTCCAAACTATCAGATAAAAATCCAACACAGGCTCCTAAAGACTAGGTCTGGGTCTGGGGTGGGTAACTCAGCCTCTGGATATTGTGAGCTGTCTGTTTGACCTTGGACTGATGAAGGTGGTGATTACTTCTGGAGCGTTTCCTGCAGGAGGTTAGCACAGGCCCCCAAAGAAAACGCTGCTTCTTGCAACAGATTGGAGTCAATAACTTCACCCTGCCGAGCCCAACCCAGCAATTCCCACGGACCCAGCCCGCAGGGACCTGCCAGCGCTGCCCACTGCCCCTGCTTCGGGGTCCCCTGGTCTGGGCGTGGGGTCACAGCTGTCACCCAGGGCTCACAGCTGGTACCCACGGCCACAGAAGCCACCCAGTGGCTTTAGAGCTGGCGGGCGAAAACCACAGCTGTCACCCGGCACTAGGTGTCACCCGGGGTTACAGCTGCCACCGCGCGGTCACCGCTGCCACCTAGCGCTCACAGCTGGCACCTCGCGCTCGCAG